ATCATTTTATTTTTGAATTTTTTGGGAGTAATTCTTATATAGGGCAAAAATCACGTGCTTACAACTGATACACAATATATAAGGAATAAGTGAAGTAGCCTTTTTTCTCCAAAATGGAGTCTATCACAGCAAATAAATACGTTTTAAAAGGGGATATACGAGACATGAATATCTATTAACGGGATAGGGGAATACTTGGGCATTTTGCTAACGATAAGGATATTTGTATGCTATTTCTAATAGTTCAGGGACAATGTTGGACCAAAAGTTAAAAAAAGAGTATCTTTGGTCTATTTTCAATAGTACAGGGACATTTGTGGCCATTTTCCTAAGAAAATAAAATTAAAAGAAGTCGCTAATAACGGAAACCATAAGCAAACCAGAAAAAAAGAAAATAGAAAAAGGCAAACCCTCAAAACCCACAAAAAGGAGGTACTAATAGCAGCCAATTAGCCACCACGACATCCTCAGTAGTTGCTGATTTCGGACCGGATTTTTCCTCCTCATCAGCATAACAGGTAACCTTCTTTAGCACCAATCTGTTACGCACTCACAAACAGTCTCTTTATTCACTGTTTTGTAAGAATGGGAGCTATCAGTGTAATTGGAGAATGGGTTGACCGCCACTCGAGTGATTTAATTCCTTTATTCACTTTTTTCTTAAGGATAGCGATTTGCCAATTAAGAAAAAGAAAAAAAGGAGTGCACTTTAGCTAATTTTGTTGCCTTAGTACATGAGGTGTTCGAAGAAATGCGCCAAAGAAACTTCAGTGCCCGGGTGCCCCTATGTCTCTTCCAGTTTTCCTGCTTTTGTGTTTCTCCTTTTGAAAAATTATATTTCTGGTTACCATTTAGTTAAATTAAGTTCAGCTTGATAGAGATGATCTATATGCTCTTTAAAGGATTGCCTCATCCCTGTTTCTATTGTTGTCTTTGATAATACCCTGAAATTTTGTCCATTTCCATTTGCTAGAGCTCTCCCACTTGGCATTATGAGGTCAATGGCAAAATTTCAGTTCACTGCCATGACGTGTAATTATGTGTCGCAGAATGAATGGATCACAAAGGAGAACACTTCTATTCAATGGCCTGCAAACTGTCATGATTATAATTATTCTCTTCCGGCATTGTCGTGCAGCATCTAGTTAATTTTGTTAGATTTTAACTTATCAAAAGTTGTTTGTTATCTTCTCCCTCTCTTGGTGAACAAACATTGTCATTACTCACGCTCCACTCAAGGAGGTGATATCACTGTAGGCATTGGTTGCAATGTAATAATACAGCTCTCAAAGTCTGGGAGTAGCTGTACTGAAGGGTGAATGTGCCTTTCAGTGACCATTAGATGGACTTCATTGCTCTATTAGTGTGGTTGGAAATATCAGAATACGTTAAGTGTACCTCACTTTTGTGTAATAAATATCATAGATTAAGTAGCTGTATCATCTTACTAAAAGGATATCCTAGATTAAATTACTATAGCAGTTCAGCGGAAACAGAAATATAACCTAATTTCAGGTTATTTTAGTAGAATATATTTCTCCAGCAGCAATAAAGATCTAATTTTTGTAGTTTCAGTTATTTAACGTTATGCTTCAGTCTTTGCTATGGATCTTGAGTCTTCTCTCTTTCCACCTATGTTTGCTTTTAGGTCTCTTTCCCTCTTTGTCCTCTGTTTCTGCGTTTGATTTGCCTCTATGGGAGAATCCTCAGTTGTGAATCTTCTAACAACTGAACACTTTGTGTCGTGTATTTAGTTTTGTTGGATTTAAGTAAGTATTTCTTGAAACGCTTTAAGATCATTATGCATATGTTAAGTATATCCAATTCCTTAATTTTCAGATCACATTCCAATATCTGAAAGATGGTGTGTTATCGTGGTGTAAAACGCCCTATTGAGATCATATACAAGAGTTTAAATAGCTCTATATGTTGCGGACGTGGCTACTCTACTTCGACACATAGAGGAAATTCCGTTGCTGAGTCCAAAGGATATCTTTACAAACATGCGGATGGACCTAGAACATATACAATGTCTATTAGGAGATATTCAGCCGAAATTTCCTCGATGGAGCAGATGAACTTAATAAAGCGGCTGAGAGAAAGAACAAGTGCTCCCATAAAAGAAGTCAAAGCTGCTCTTATTACTAGCAATTGGGATATTGGCAAGTGTGCAAATCATTAGGCTTTTTTCCTTACTTAACTTCCTATTATTCTTTGCCACCGAGAATGAAATGGTAATATCTCTTCAATGCAGAGGCTGCTCAGAAGGACCTTAGGAAAAGGGGGATTGTTCTTGCATCAAAGAAGTCATCTCGGACTGCTGCCGAAGGGTTGCTTGCCTTGGCGCAGAATGAAAAGAAGGCAGCTGTTATTGAACTTAACTGTGAAACCGACTTTGTTGCAAGGAATGAAATTTTTCAATACTTGGTCAGTATTGGAGCTGTCTAACCCAACTTTAAACTTGTCTCATGCAGTAAGTTGTAAGATATTCCATTTAGGAATGTAGACATTAATTGTGACACAATAATGGAAGGCATAATATTCACTTTGAACGAAAGGGGGTACAGATTTTGCAAGACAATAAGCTTGGATTTTGCAAGATATTCCTCCTATTTTATGATTCTGGAGATCTTATTTTCTTAATGGTTCTCTAAATAAGGTTTCTCTTTAACATTGTTTGATGGTAACCTTCCTCTTCCCTCACCATGCAACACAATCTCATGGAGTTGTTCTTATATATGCATCATGAATAGGCCTTATCTTTGGCAAAGCTGGCATTGCTGCTTGAGGGCTCACAACAGACTTCTGCTGCTATTCCTCTTGGACTTGAACATCTGGAGGTAAGTCGTAGTTTTTGTCCATCCAGAGGCTAACCCATGTTCTTTTTCTGTTCATTTATATGGTGTACATTTAAACTAGTTTTTGGACATTAGAGTATTCTGTTTAACATTTTGATGGATATTCGTACAAGTATATAAGTTCTTTTGATTTCTGTTATATGGAATTTTGCTTTCTGTTGACTCATTTCTTCATGTAGAAGCATCCTGATCAGGGGCGGATCTATGTAGGGCATTAGGGGTGGTACATCACCCTAACACTTGGATATTATATATTTATTGATATTTCAAACATAAAAATTCATATTATTAAGAGGTGGCACCCCAATAATAAATTAGCTGTTGGGTGCCTTGGTTGAAATGCCAAAATACCAAGCGCCAGACCCGGGATCAAGACTTGCTCCTTGTTCCTACTTTCTCCATCAGTCCTTTTTCTTTCTTTATTTCATTTCTTCCGGCTCCTTCTCTTAATTTATTTTATTTCCTATTCTTGATGCTTCCTCTCTCTTTGTCCAATCCATTTTTATTACTTCTTTAAATTATATATTTGCTTCCTTTTTCTTTTTATAGACCTTCAACAATTCGTATGTAGGTGATTTTAATAATTTTCTCTTCTTTGTTCATCTATTTTTTTTTTAATTTTTAATTTCTTTTATAATGATGGAATAAACATAACATTAATCTAGCTACATGTAGATTGAAGGGGTGTCTTTGCTAATTTAAAATTTTATTTTATGATTTTAGTCACATTATTCACTAGGATTTGGATTGAGATAACTACATCGAAATGAACAAAACTAATATGGTTTGGTGATCACATATTTATTTATACACAAAAAATCGTGTAAATCGAATTGAATTAATTCAAATGGATCGAACTAACCCGACCCGAATTAATTCAAAACGGATCGAACCGATTAGATGTACACCTTAATTCACTCTCCTTCACTAGTGGTAGATTTTATTAATGACAATGGCACCCGTAGTTATCAAATTCCGGATCCGCCTTTGATCCTGATCAATTACAGCTGTCCAGTTTTCACAGTGCAGATTCAAATCCTATTATCTTTCTGCAGCTCTGCTTCTTTAAGAACAGAACCCTTTAAATTCTTTGTTTCCTACAGGACTTGAAGATGAACCTTGACCATCCTAAACTGAGTGGAGAAAAAAGTGTACAAAATGCGATAACTGAAGTAGCTGCAATGATGGGGGAGAATGTCAAACTAAGAAGGGGGTTTGCAATGTCCACTCCGTCGATTGGTGTGATATCAACGTATCTACATACAAGCCCTCAACCAGGTAGAATTCATTTGAGATGCCTTGCTGCATTCAGGGAGTAGATGTTATTCTGCAGCTAAATTTTTTGTGTATTTGAATTTGCGAATTTTCCAACTTATGGAATTAAACTGGTTTTGTTGTTGTTGTTGTTGTTGAATTTGTGATGGAATTAAAAAAGAAGCAATTTTTAACAATATTTGAAGGACTTTTGAGCTTTTGATATTTGAAATAATAGTAAATCTAATTCTTGTGAAAATATATGCAGGTGTGGGACGTATTGCTGGGATTTTATCAGTTGAAGTAGAAGATCAGAATGTACCACAAGATGCCCTTCAGCGTGTTGGATCAGAAATAGCAATGCATGTAGTTGCTGCAAAGCCACTGTTCTTAACGAAAGAAGATGTTTCTTCTGATGCACTAAGCAATGAACGCGAGATTCTCAAATCTCAGGTACTTTGTCAATCCACAGTGATGATTTATTTTTGCTGTGTTCACGTGGAATTACAGGAATTATGAAATCAAAAGCTAACTTGCAAGTGAACTCTGATCTATGATGCTTGTGCTTAGAAAAAGAATTGCCTGTTATGCATCATGAAGCTGGAGAAAAAACGGTTCCTTTCTTCCTTTTTTGAGGTTTTCCTACCGAGGGGGAGGGGGGCAGGAATGTGGTCGGAGCATCTGTTTTTTGTTGCATTTGATGCTGTAAAGAAATTTTTAGCACCTTGTAATACTTCACATAAGATGTAACCCATGCAGATCATTATTTGTGTTAATTGAGGATATGATATGTTCTCTTTTATTCAGTTTGAGTATGCTTTTGTGATGCTCAGATCGGTTTTTTCCTTTGCTTTTAAAAATAACAACATGCTGTGTAATTGTAATGGCTCTCAGAATTTGGTAATTTGAATTTGCAATTAGAACAATTGTTAGGGCTCAGGATATATATTCTAACACTTTGAGGAGCCTGACACCTTGATTTGGTGTTCAGTCGATCCACTGGTCTCTATACATCTCCTGGGTGTTTCCATTTTACGACATTCTTATAATTTGTGTGGAAACCAATTTTTTCTTTTGGAATGAAAGTGACCAATGTTAAGATACTACTAAATTATCCTATGCAAAAAGAATGTGCTGATCGAAACCAGCAAAATGAGAAAATAAAAGACAAATACTTGAATTAATCGAGATGATAAACAAGAAAGAGAAGCAAACCAGCATAAACCAGTTTGATTCTTTGGGAATGCTACAATAGAGAGAATATAGTACCTGCAGAGTCTAACAAATCCCCGTTGATGTTTGAATGATATGTTTCTGCTGAGATGTTAGGGTTTTGGTAGTAACAAGGTAAGAAAANTAAATTTAGGCTGTGACATTTGATTTTTGCTTTTCTTTTTCCTCATTATTTTTCTTTACTGGAATACACTGTTTGATTTACTCTTGATGGACCAATCATCTAAGTGAAACAAATAATTGAATTGAGAAAAGGTACTACAAATAAGGCCTTGCTGAGAAAAATATCAAGTGCTAAGAAAAAAGAGCTACCCTGATGTTGCATTCCTTCAATAATTTGCCAGTTAGTTATATGGTACTCATTGATGACTCAATAACCAAAAGAATGCAAGAGGAGCTAACAAAGGGCTGCCACCATTCTCAATGTCAATGGCAACCCATGTCATGTTGATAAAAAATGAAGCTTGCATTCATTATGCTTCATCATCTTGTAAGGTTTAGATTCAAATTATAAATGCCTATTATGTTCCTTTACAGGCAGAGAATTCGGGGAGGCCTCAGATTGCCATAGAAAAAATGGTTGAAGGTCGTATGCGCAAGTATTTTGAGGAAGTAGCTTTGATGGAGCAGAAATTTGTTGTGAATGACACAATAAATGTAAAGGTAAAAAAGTAATCATTTAGTTGAGATGTCATTTTGCTAGATTTCTGTTTCTTTTCCTATTCACAAAGTGTATCACACTCACCATAATCTGATTTTCTCTTTTGAATACCGAATATTTGTTTTGAAATAAGATCCCAGCTGATGCTTGTCAGTGAATTCAGGATCACGATGATAGTACCAACTAGAGGTAGATGTAACACATCTGGATTCTGAGGCAATCACTTTAATTGCCTGTAAATATGGCTTGGGTGTTAGAAATGGTATAAAATGGTCTGATATGCCTTTATATGGGTTTGGACTGTCATAACTGGTTATAAAATATGCACCATTTATCTTCCTCGTGTGGGTTGAGTGGCAATATCTGCTACCAAAATGGTAAGAAGCTGTAAGTATCGTACATAACATAGTTGGACCTTCTAGGACCAGCTTTTTACTCAGATAGCTTCATGATCTTTTGGCAATGTTGTCAAAGGTGAAAGCCATTGGAAAATGCGAAGGCCCGCAGATGCTTTAACCGCAAAGTGCAAATGAAAACATTTTAGTGAATAGAAGTGCAGAATGAAGATTGGTCATTAATGTCTGTATGTACACATAAATGTGAAGAAAAATTTAATAAAAACTCAAGGAATAATTGTTGAGCAGAGGGACTAAAAAAATGCTCGAAGTTAAGATATGATTTGGATATAAAAAAAGATAAAATTCGGATCGCCTCTTCTCTGAGAGTATGGTTCTTTCCTCCTTTTCCTCTTTGAGCTCATCCATTTGTTTGGTCATCTATCCTTTTATGGAATAATTGGAATTTATCCAGGTTCAGGCACTATTTCTGTAACAGAACTGCTTGACCACACCTACACTAAAAAGGAACACAACAACAAATTGACAAACTGAAGAAGAATGAATTGGAGGTATCAGAGGAAGGACTGACGAAATTGTTACTTGTCTTGCAGTAGGGCTGGGCATATATCGGGCATAACCAATAGACCGAACCGACAAAAAGCTATTGGGTTATCGGTATCGGGTTATTTGTAAATAGTTCGATAACGGTTTAATGCTATTTGACTAATGGATTATCGGTTCGGGTCTCGGTTTTCCCAATTTATTAATGGTTTAACCGATAGCCAATAAGCTTTAACAAAATTATAATTTTACCCACTAAATATATAAAACCACCTTATGGCTTCATTCTCTCATTCTCTCAATTCTCTCGGTAGCTACTCTTCATCTTCTAACCTTAATTAGTTTTAAACTTTAAAGAATTAATTGTTCAGATTTTTAGTTTTAAAATTTGTTTCTTTTGTTGCACTGATTCTTTAGTATTTACAAGATTAGGATTTTATTATTTTCCTGTAAATTATGCCCGCTCGCAGTGAGATAGTTAGTAAGATTAGATTGTTGAATGTCTTATCCCTTACTCCTAGTAACTTATAACTTTGAAAATTGAGATCATTCATTGGGATTTTCAAATGCAAAGAAAGTTTTATTTTTTAATCCCTCTTATCTTAAGAGTAAAAATTCAATTCCTTTCTCCTAATAGTTCGATCATTATTTTTTGGATAGTTTTTATTCTTATCGGGTAAACTGATAACCGAACCGATAAGGATCGATAACCGACTAACCGATACTCGATAACCGATATCTTATCGGTTCCGTTATCGGTTTAGTATATTTATAAACCGATAACCGATATGACGAACCAATAACATTCACAACCAAACCGAACCGACCGATGCCCATCCCCATCTTGCAGTGAGTCAAGTGAAATACAAGAGCATGCCAATCAAATCTAAGAACCATGTTACATGCCTGATTCGGACGTAACTATACATTTTTAAGTTTCTAATTCAGCTTTGTCTTATACTAAGTTCAGAAATTTCCTGTTCATATACTAGGATATTTATGCATAAGCATAACTTTCTACTACTCCTCCACGGCTTTTAGTAAATGTCACCAGATTTATAGGATTCAATCTCTTATTCCTCTTACTCTTAGATCAACCTGCTCTTCTTCTATGTGACTATGGCGAGATTGAGAGCTTGAAGCTGGGCTTTGGATAGTTCTTGCTGGTCCTCTTTGTCACTTTTTTGCAATGCTTAGTTGGTTGCTTACCACTTTGCTTTGTTTCTGCTCCCCTGCAATTCTGTATTTATTCCAGATACTTTATCAGTGAATTTTCTCGACTATTAATACATCATTTTGATGAATATACAGAGAGCCTAAGGGCCTCATAATTTAACCTTTTAAAAAAAAAGCCTTTGATTAGCTCGTTTTCATTGAAGCGCTCAACCTGCTCGCTGCTTTAGGGCTTAACTGCTTAAGTGTTCCTTCGACAATTGCAACAAAGCTCTCATATCTGTGTATATAAAAACTTGAACCAGTTTAAATAATTTGGCTTGGGAGCCCATTTTTTGAAAATTGTAATAGTTGTCAGCACTCAGCACTTACACTTTTGTTGGCCCAATTCGTGTTACACATATGGAGTTATTGGCTCGTCTGGATGTTACAGACATCCTTTTGTTCATTTTCTGTCAAATATTTTGTTTAAATCTTTTGAGTGCATTGTGCCCTATTTAGATGTATTTCTGTGTCCACATATGTTAGGAGATTTCTGCAAGGCTCAAGTTGTAACTCAGCATATCATCTTGAAGAAAGGAAGATAATTTGGTCTCACCTTTCAATTGATTTTTGAGTTTCTCATTTGCATTGTTTCTTACATGTACTGGCATCTCTTACGATGTTCACATGGATGACTAACTAGTTGACTCATCGATGAAAAAATTGCAGACATTGATAAGCAATCTATCCAAGGAAGTCGGTTCACCAGTTAAAATAGGAGGCTTTCTAAGGATGGAAGTTGGTGAAGGACTTCAGAGGTAAATGTGCACATGATTAAGACTTGTTGTAATTCTCTAGGATTCCCGGTTTAGTATCTTAGAAAAAGTTGTTTAGGTTTCCATGAATTTTTCAGCTTATTGTGAAGGCATTGAATTTCTTTCCTGAAGTTAATGACATGATTGCGTAACCTGCTAGCAGCTAGCAGGAATATTATTTAAGCTAGATAAAGTTGTGGGTTCTCTTCTGTCAATGAGTGCTTTCCCCTTTCCAAACCCACTAACTGCATATTTTACTTCAGTTAGGTGGAATACAAGTTTCTTTTACTTGCTAGTAGAATAGTGCTTCTGTTTCCAATTGCACATTCACACAGTTAATGGGTTGGATCAATGTCCCTAGAAAGAGATCTTGACAATACAATCTTTTTGCAAGACAAAATGGTATCCTTGAAACTAATATATGTATGAGCATACTACTGCCTGGCAGATGGGAGCTTTTGTCATAATTTTTCAGTGCAAAATTACAGTTTTTACGACCTCAGTGTATGCCAAAGCAGATTGACAATACTACTTTCGGCAATGCATGAGGTACTTAGAAAAGATATTGGAGGACTTATTTTCAGATTATCAGTAAGCTGTTAAAGGGTTTAAAATAGTGTGCACACATGTCGAACAGTAAATTTTTATTTTCTTGAGAAAAGGTAAGTGTATTATAGATATAGCACCAAGAAGGTGCTGTCAAAAGTATTTACAAACTACTGAAAGTGCATCCCTTTCTTTTCTTAAAGGGATCCTATCAGTTCTACCACTGCTTCAGCATCATTAATATAACTCTGGTTACACCAAAAATAAAACAGAATTAAACAGTTCATTTTGATCTTCTCAATGGGCTCTCCTTTGTCTTCAAAGCATCTATCATGCTGGAATAGTCTGCCACCATTTTTTTTGCTTGGAGTTCCTTCCTCTGATGGTCAAGCACGTCTCGAACAGTAATTGGTACTAAAAACTAACCAGGGCACTGTGATAGCAAAAACTAAGCATCTTAAAAGCCCGTTAGGATTTAGGGTTCAGGGTTCAATCTGGTTTTTCTTGTTATATTATTGGCACAGACTTCTAGACAAGCATTCTACTAACAAAAGAACTCTCAACTGAATTGGTGGAACCTTTATTTTACAACACATATTCTTTTCTTAACATGTCAGAAAAGATGATAGAAGAAAAGATTGTATTCTGTTTTTGAAGTAATTAACATGGATGCAAATGGGATGCCATCACTACCTGCTTTGTGGTATAACTTGTGTTTGCATAGTCTGACTCCTGTATTATTGTTGATAACCTTACAGGCTTGAAGCATCGAATGAAAGTGAACCTTTGGCTAATGCTGCTTAACAGGAACAACTTTTTTCAAAGTCGTGAGAGACCTGCCTAAGTCACTGTACTGTGAACCTCTACTTTCTAGTTTCTTATCTTCTGATTATATTCGTCATGTTATCAGTGCTGAATGGAGTCCTTAGGCAAGCTAAAGCTGAAGAGGTTTTGAATTACATTTGAATTTTCATAATTAGTGTTATACAATAATAAGGTCTTCATTGTGTTATTATGTTTGTTTGGATTCACACAAATTATTCTTCTATAGTTGTTGATTTATATGCCAAAGGACGTCCTTGTCTGTATCTTTTAGCAGATGCTTATTTTAATGGAAATACCTGACAGATTCGGACCCGACTGAAGGAAACCCATGATAATAAATTTGATAAATAAGAGGTTTGCATGAGTATGATGTTTACTATTCTGACTATATTCCTCATGAAAGTTAAGTCTAAGCTTTGTGCTTTCATTTCATGGTTCTTTGCTGCTAATTTTATGTTTAACGCTTTCTAATTCTACATTTAATCTAGTATTGCTCTTTGCTTGTGAAGTTTATACATGATCCTGAAGGATGCTGCAGTTGTGGAATGATTATGCAGCAGGAATCTAGTACCTAAAACTTTGAACAATAACCGGGATTTTAAGTCGAATGTCCTTTTTACCTTACAATGACATGCAAAATAATATCTGCACATAATGTTACATATCAGAATAGGGAAAGGTAAAACAGAATGGTTTGCTCCCGGCTTAGTGGAACTTGAGGCTGGTCAAGACGTTGTTGTTTACAGGATCAGCCAAATGGTCAAGGAGGTTTTGGTAAGGTCCAACTCCAGTAACCAAACCTTGAATGAAGTAACCCAAGATGGCCAACATAGCCAATCTTCCATTCTTAACCTCCTTGAGCTTCAAGTCTTTTAAAGACTTCTCATCTTTTCCAAACCCGAGAGGGTTAAAGAAAGGTCCGCCAGGGTATGCCGGGTCTCCAGAGCCTCCCAAGCCTTTCTCTAGCCCCAAAAAGTATTGTTTACCCATAGAACCTGGCTTGGCCCAGTCCTGGAATCTTCTGTGCTCAGCAAATCCCATGAGTGCCATCTCCAGTACAAATAGGGTGTAATTGTCAGCCCAGTAGCTGTATGTTCCAGCTGGAGGAATCACTCCGGTCTGGAACCATGGAAGAGCTGTTTCTGCTGGGATGAGACCAGCCTTTCCAAGAATCTCGGGCGCAATGGCTCCTGCTGCTCCTAACATAGCGAATCTTCCATTGATGATTTCTCCATATGCTAGCCATTTTGGCTCAATGAAACCTCCGGTACCTTCAGGGTCTGACAGTCCCAGGGGATCAAACCCATAGTCACCAGGAAGGCTGTGGATTACATACAAATGAAGAGTTCTCAATAATCAGACTTAAGATAGCTATTTCAGATTAAGATAACATGCACAAGTCAACAAGGCTATGGAGGTAGAATGGTTGAGTGAGAGAGTCCCATTAGTCTTACCTGCCATCCAAGTATGAAAGACTCTGCTTGGAGGCAAACCAAAGAGGCCTATTTGCTCCTTGCTGTTCAACAGAAAAAGTTTGTTAATACTTGAACTCAGTGGCAGAGCTACCTTTGATGAAGGAGGTTCAGTTGAATCCCCTTCACTTGAAAATTGCAGTACAAAAAGAGTAAAAACAAAATAATATATATACTCACATACATACACACACACACACACTCCATATAAACTATCAAGTCCCCTTATAGGCTCATATCTTAGTTTTGACATTTGTATATTTTTTCAAATCCCCTTGCTCAAATTCTTGGCTCTGCTACTGCTTAAACTAAATGTAAGCTAAGGATTTAGTAGTAATGAAGGGGGATGAAAATCCTGGGAGACTGCTTTAAATCTCTAAGTAAAGGTGAAAAATATTAGGGGATATTTTTCCTTTTACCCAAGCCTTAGTGAGTGCCTACTAGTGGAAGGCAACGAGTGCCCGATGGAATAGTTGAAGTGCAAGAAAACTGAAGAAAGGGGGTTACCTTAACAGGTGGAGTGGCAGTAGCCCTTACAACAAAGGAGGTCTTCTTGATTGGAGATTGGAATGGTCTTCCTCCTACAATTTGTCTGGCAGCCTCTGCTGAGGAGGCAATGGACGATGAGGAGATCAATGCCTGTGTTGCCATTTTTTTCCTAATTAAAATTGACTTCTGAAGAAGAAGAATAAGCACTCAGCTTTTGTTAGTAAACACAAGGTGGCAAATAAGGGACAAGGTATAGGCCACCAAGTATTATGTGGGGCTAGTGGAAAACAGAGAAATTGTGGTGGACATAAGAAACCTTGAATTCTCAGATAAAGTACGGTTTATAGTGCCGAATGAAAAGAGCACATGTGGCATTATTGCTTGGATAAAAGATTTTGTACACTCCTAGTCGCAGAAATAAATTCTCGGATACTTTAGTTGCCACCGGAGATAGAGTCAGGATTTTAAAGTTGTGGGTTCTGATCTTGTCACTGAACCATAGCTCGTTTTAGTTACTGGGTCCGCAATTAAATATTTTTATATATTTAATAGTTTTTTCAATACAAATACAAAGTTTAAGCAAAAGTCATTGTGTTCGATCGAACCCGTAGCTGCGACACTACCTCCGCCCCGGTTGCCACCTTGCCTTCACCAGATTCACTCTTGTTCGAAATATTGCAATCACAGTGTTTGGAATTCCAGTAAATGAGAGAAGAGTAAAAATTAAATAAAAGATTTTTCTTTTATTTTTTCTTCATAGAGGTATTAATAGAATTAAAAGAGAAGGCGTAATTTTCTTTCTTTTTGTTACCCCTCCTTTGAAATATACAATTTGTACACTTATCTTTCTCAAATTGTACTACAATAACACGAATTTGTAGTATATATCTAGCAAAATGCTTTTGCACCTAACATTTTCTTCAAGGAGCTTTATATAAGAAGTGATTTTGTTTCACTTGCTTAAAGCTTCTGTTATAAATTTAGTTCTCACATTTTAGAATTAAAGGCTCTTTTCTCTAAATTAATTCCGTTACAACTTTATTCATGCATCACTTATAATTACAAAATTTGAAAGGATTTATCACGATAAAATTTTAAACACCACTATATAAATAGACACTGCATATGAATTACCATCACTCACAGAGCTAAACAATCTTGCACTATAATATCATGGAGTTAAGCAGGAAGAAAAAACGAAGCTACAAACAATAATAGATATATTTGTGCAACGTGGACTGTTGTGTGAATGTGGTTATCTTTTATCTGTCTATGCTCTCCGTTTTTTTCCAGAAGGGACCTTGGAGCAACGATAAAGTTGTCTTCATGTGATTTATAGATCACGAATTTGAGTTATGGAAGCATTCGCTAATGCTTGCATTAGGTTAGACTGTCTTTATCACACCCTTGGTGTGGCCTTTCCTCGAACTCTGCATGAGATACTTTATGCAGCCAGCTTCCCTATTCTCATTTGTCTTCCTTTTTCACTTTGTTCCACATATAGAGTTGGCTGAAATGGGAGGTTTTCAGTTACTTTATTTATCCTTTTTCTCTTACTGCTTCTTCCTTACTTTTAAAAAAAAAATTAAGACGAAACTACAAACAGAAAAGACTATATACAAAAATTAAATGTACAAGAATAATAGTAAGTATATATTAAGATACATAAAGATACATCTATATAAAAAGACATTTATAGGAAGTGAAAGTACTTTTTGGCTTTTGAAGTAGCAATATGGCGAATATGTTTTCTATAATATAATAAAGAAGACTTTCAAAAGGATTACGAAGCATCTTTGATGAAAACCCAGATCATTGCACTATAACCTATTTTACATTATAATCCATTTAAAAAATTTGCAGGCGAAGAAGTAATTTTATAACCTATTTCACACTAGTTTTGTAACTAATTTGCTGCATTTGATTGTTGAACAAGTTATTTGCTGCATTTGGTTGTTGAACAAGTTATACTGAAATTATAATGGTGGAATTATAATACGAAAAATAAATCACAAGACCATTTAATAGATATACTTTTATTGGTAGATGTTTGGTCAATTGGGACTAAAAATAAGTCAAACCTTTTTATAATAGTGTCATTTGTCCTAATAATTTTTAGGTTGTTATGGCAATGACTGTTATACACCTATAATAGCATTTAACTTTTAGATCTTATTTGGCTGTTAAGACAAATGTTATGCAAACACTCATTTTTCTCAAACTTTATGTTATTAAAGAAAATAAAATATTCAGATTTAATACCTCAAAATATATTGATGTTCCATTAATTTCAACTTTTAAAAAGCTTACAGATTATTAATAAATTCATAACTGGTTGTACTGCATCTACAAATAATTAAAACTAATTGAGAAGTAAAAAATCTCAAATATAATAGAAGAAATCTATAATTTTGGCAACATTTCCGTAAATTTCAGTCTCTTTATGGCAATGTAATACTTGAATTGGGAAATTTTGAGGCCAAACTTTCAACAAAAGTGTGTCATAGCCTTAAACCTCCCTTCATTAGATTCCTTGAAGGGAGTCTAAAAGCTTAACAATTGACATAGCAAGTAGTAGGTTAAGGTTCTGCCTTAGAATATCTTATTAGTATAGATTAGATTTTTATTTTTTATAATTGGCGTTATCACACCAAAGTTGTAGCTGATGCATTAAATATGAAATTAAATGACTAGAAATGGGAGTGAAAAATTTAGTAAAATTAATCAAAATTAGCATCATTATAGTGAAAGGAAAAATTAAATCATTATTTCATGAAAAAAATCAATTATCATTTAAGTATATTGTTATAAACAGGTAGTTTTATAAAGAATGCACCGCTATACTGATAGCCACTGTTGTTGTAGGTAGAATGCTACTATTGGCACCAATGCACACCTTGTTGTATTGTATTATTTCTAATTAATTCTGTACGAATTAGTTAAATTAAGTATCAAAATTCTCTGTTACAAATGATCACAATTGTTGGTCTTAGGTCTAAAAATAGAATGATTTTTACAGTTTTTTTCTTATATCTGAAGAAAAATAGTGATACGAGAACAACTCGATAGGCAAGATAAATTAGGGGTGGACATCGGTCGGTTCGGTTCGGTTATGAATATTATCAGTTTTGCCTATCGATTATCGGTTTACAAATATCATAACCCGATAACCAAACCGATAAGATATTGGTTATCGGTTATCGGTTATCGATCATTATTGGTTTGGTTATCGGTTTACCCGATAAGATAAAACAACTAAAACAGTTTCGCAATGTATAAAACAATTTCGGTATAAAACTTTTTTGTTAAAAGCAGTTTTATAAGATTTTAAGAACTGTTTTGCTAAAACTCTTTTCAGAACTGTTCTATTTCACAAGAATTTAAATTTACTGCAACATCCAATAAAATTAACAATAACCAAAGTTTCTATCTTTCATTCTTCAACCCAAAAAAATATAAACAAAAATCCCAATATCAGTCAATGATGAAAAAATAGAATATCAGTCATATTTTCACTTCGACATTTTCTGCAAATACAAGGGATCTAAATGAATAACAAATACAAGTTTATTAGTTATGAAATACAAATTTTATAACAACTGACATAAGATAACTTCATAGCAGTTCAACAATTAAAGCACATAACAAATCTCACTTTAGCTTTCGAACAAACTAAGAAAAATCCAGAGCCAGAATGCTTTCAAACAAACTAAGAAAAATCCAGAGCCAGAATGCTTTCAAACAAACTAAGAAAAAGATGAAGATGAAGCAACTAAAAACTTACACGAAGAATCAAGATGAAGCTGAAGAATGCGGCCGAGAAATGCCACTGAAGAGTGAAGTGAAGATGCGACTTAAGAATGTGATGGGTCCGAGAAATAAAGTGAAGATGCGACTGAAGAGTGAAAGAAAGAAGCTGCGAAATGCGACTGACGCCGACCTGAGTCTTGCCGGCCTGACTGGTAAGGGCGTGAGGCGGAGAAAGAATAGGGAAATCAAAGAGCGAACTATGACTTATGAAACCCTAGTAAGTATATACTTAAAGGTAAACTAGTAAATTAGTTAATCCTTATTGGGTTATCGGTTTTACCCAATAACAGAATTGCCAAACCGAGCCCGAACCGACAACCCAAAAAAAAAAAAATTTAACCCATTACCGAACCGTTAACCCAATAACCCAATACCGATAACCCAATAAATAATTAACGGTTCGAGTTATCGGTTTTACCCGATATATGCCCACCCCTAAGATAAATGTTACAATTCAAATTACAGTGTTAAAAAAGAAAGTCATAACCAAATAAACGGAGACATGCTATGTCAAACTAATATTAAAATGGTTTAAAAATTTCTTCTTGATTATGCATTTAAAGTAAACAAAAGAGACACTTTGGTTTTTTTTTCCTTATTTTTATTTCTTAAATAGACACTTTGATTAGAATCCTAGGTAGCTTTTTTTGGCATTTGTTTCCCCTTAATAACATTTTATTTGGCCCGGTTTAGAATTTTCAAATTTCAAAAAAGAGCAACGGTCGTCTCTTTCATCATATGGAGAAATCAACGGCCTTTCAAAAGGAACTTTCTTTTCTTGATCTCTCTCTCACAACACACACAGAGTCTGTCTTTCTCTCTCTCTCTCTGAAGATTTAAAAGCATTGAATCCCTTTTTCCCCTCTCTTTTTCAGTGTATTTGATTTGATTACCACTTGTCTTTTCATTTCAAAAACTCTTACCCTTTATCAATGGAACTTGATGAGTGGCAAGATCCACTTCTTATTACAGACGTTTCTTCCCAACAACAAGAAGAGCAACAGCTATTACTAATTAACTCTCACAAATACTGTAAGAAACTTGTTTTGTATAGACACTGGTGTCAAATTTTACATGGGTTTGTAGCTTGTTCTCATATTCTTTGTTCTCTTAATTACTCCTTATTTGGCAGACCCGTTTTCGTCATTGGATGTTTCAAGAAATACACTGATGGGACTGGAAGATTCTACTAGCTGTACCCCCATCAAGATTGAAGGTAATTAAGCACCCCCTTTTACAATTCTTGAAAAAGAAAGCTATCCGATTCGCTAAGCTCCCGCTATGCTGTGGATTTGGGGTAGGCTACCTTACCTTGCATTTCTACAAGAGTATGTTTCCGCTACTTGAATCCATGATCCCTGGCCATACACCGACAACTTTTACCATCGCACCAATATTCCCTTCTTTTGACATATCTTGAAATGATTGAGTTTTTTCTTTCTAATTTATTTTATGTTGTGTGCATTGATTTTTTTTTAGAAGGGAGTAATGCTGAAAATTTCAAGGACCCAGTTGCAGAAAGTGTAATTAATGGTGGGGAATTCATCAAAAGATTTGATTTTTATTTCTTTATATTAGGGTTCTTCCAGATTTTGAATTGATCCCCTTTGCCTCATTGCATGTTTCAGTGAATACATTGATGGAAGATTCTAATTACTGTACCCCAATCAAGATTGAAGGTAATTTCTGTGCTCCCCCCC